TACCAGCTTTATATAACACTTAGTACGACGTGAATTTGGAAAAAGCGAATCGTTTTTTAATTTAACTTACGGGTGGCATTGGTGGGTAATTCCTGCCAACCTCTCTCAATTCCCGCGGTTGGACCAAAATTATGTGTGACAACAATTTTTACCAAAGGTAACAAGTCCGACCCACCTCTCTCAATTCAGACCTATTAGTCTTTGCAACATGCTCTATAAAATTGCCTCAAAAGTCATAGCTAATAGGCTGAAGGTTATACTACCTAACATTATTTCTGAAGAACAGTCAGCATTTGTTCCCGGCAGATTGATATCTGATAACATAATTTCTGCGTACGAGTGTTTGCATTTTATGAAGAGGAACCGATCAAAAACCAATAGCAGTTGTGCACTGAAACTTGATATGATGAAAGCATATGATCGCTTGGAGTGGGATTATCTTCAAGCCATAATGCTCAAGCTAGGTTTCTCTTCTGCTTGGGTGGACATTATCATGGGGATGGTGAAATCAGTATCTTTTTCTGTGTTGTTGAATGGTGAAAAGCTAGAGCAGTTTAAACCCTCAAGGGGTATTCGACAGGGAGATCCGATCTCCCCCTACCTTTTCTTACTTGCAGCAGAGGGCCTGTCATGCCTTTTGAAGTCCAGTTCTCAGTCGTCTGCATTTGGTGGCATCAAGGTGGCCCCTACAGCCCCAACTGTTAGCCATCTATTGTTTGCAGACGATAGCCTGTTGCTTTTTAAGTCAAGTGTGGAGGGAGCAGAGTTGGTATCAAACCTGCTGGGTACTTATTGTGGAGCCTCGGGACAGAGAATAAATCATGAAAAATCTTCTATTTTCTTTAGCAGAGGTTGTCCAGATTCTCTCAAGCAAGGTGTCATGCAAAGACTAAATGTCCATAATGAATCTTTGAGTGTCAGATATTTAGGGCTGCCAACGGATGTTGGTCACTCAAAAAATGGCACGTTCAAGTACCTTCGGGACAGAGTGTGGGAGAAAGTAAGAGGATGGATGCAGAAAATGCTTTCGGTTGGTGGAAAGGAAGTCCTCATCAAATCGGTTGCACAAGCGATCCCGGTGTTTTCTATGTCATGCTTTAGACTTCCTAGAGGAGTTTGCGAGAGTGTAACATCCATCATACGGCAGTTTTGGTGGGGCGGCAAACAAGGAAGAAGGAAGCCATGCTGGGTCTCGTGGGATGTCATGACAAGGCGAAAGGATCTAGGTGGGCTGGGTTTTCGGGATCTTGAGATCTTCAACGTTGCCCTACTGTCAAGACAGGCTTGGCGACTTTTACAAGAACCTGAATCCCTAAGTGCTCGCATTCTCAAGGCAGTCTACTACCCTTCGACGACCTTATTGGAGGCGGAGTTAGGCCCGCATCCATCGCAAGTATGGCGAGCTATTATTGATGGAAGAAATGTATTGAACCATGGGATCATCAGGCGCATTGGCGATGGAGCAACCACCAGAATTTGGCATCACAACTGGCTTCCGAGAAGTGGTCTAATGAAACCTTTTCTGCCTCGGGTAGCTGATCCACCACAGATGGTAAGCGATCTGATCGAACCAACAATGGCATGCTGGAGAGAGGAGGTAGTACGCCAAGTTTTTGTTCCCGCTGACGCAGAGGCAATATTGCAGACCCCCCTCTGTACTAGACAAGTGGACGACTTTTGGGCATGGTCGGGCGATCCGAAGGGCCGCTTCTTAGTAAAATCAGCTTACAAATTGATCCATAAGATGAAGATGGGACGGGAGGACTGGCTAGATGAGGCTGAGGATATGTCCAGCGGAGATTCCAAAGGATGGTCATCTATTTGGGGATTGCAAGTTCCTTGAAAACTGAAAATATTCACATGGAGGCTGGCTCGTCATTCACTTCCTACCAGTGATGTCCTGCATCGTCGAAACATGTCATCATCGCATGTATGTGCGTTATGCGGAGCAGACGACAACTGGCGCCATTCTCTTCTTGACTGCAACTACGCCCGGTGCGTGTGGGCTCTATCAAATGAGGATATGGTGCAGCATATGTGTATGCATAGAGATGATCAGGCAAAGAGATGGCTCTTTCTGATGAGCGAATCGCTTCCTCGAGAGGATTTCACTACCATGCTTGTCACACTATGGGCGATTTGGGCAGCGAGGAGAAAGATAATCCATGAAGGAATTTACAAAACTCCATTCGCTACCCATGGTTTTGTTACTAGCTACTTGGCTGATCTGGAGTACATACAGAAACCTATGGACAGCTCACCGGCAACTCCAAGGGCTCGCCCAACTGCTTGGCAGCCACCACCGAATGATCATGTTAAGATTAATGTTGATGCGGCTGTGCCGCGTGCTGGTGGAAGGGGGGCTGTGGGAGCCGTTTGCCGCGATGCATCGGGCGTGTATTTGGGGGCCTTGGCAGTTATGTTCAACAATATAGAGGACCCGGAGGTGCTTGAAGTTCTAGCTACCAGGGAGGCGCTGGCGCTTGCCGAGGACTTGTACGAGCAGAAAGTTTTTATCGCCTCAGATTGCATGATAGCAGTAGAGGCGATCAAAGGAGGAACGGCAGCAACATATGGAGCAGTGATACATGAAATAACGGAGCTCGTTTTTTCTCTTCGTGTTCTTTTAGTCATGAATTTAGATCCTCTAACTTTGAGGCTCACAACCTCGCGAAGCATGCATTAACGCTGGGACCGGCCGCCATGTCTGGTTAGGCCACCCCGGCGATCTTTTGTTCGTCCCTGTAAACATTGTGACGGTTGAATAAAAGTTTCGCGAGTTTGTCTAAAAAAAACAATTTTTACTTGTTAAGTACTTCTTTCTCTTTTTATCATGTGGGGTGAGAGAGAGGCAAATAATCATACACCTACGAATGGGGTATGAATGGAGTATATATTAATATATATATTTTTTTACATAAACTCGGTCAAACTTTGAGATAATTTGATCCTTCAATAAAATTAGAAGTACACTCTTTCAAGGACGAAGGGAATAACTTCCTACGTAGATGTAGCATTGCTCGAGAGAGAAGAGTGGGTGGGTACGGGCAGAGAAAACAGATTATGGATTAATTTGTTTCGTTACCAACCGCCCATCACCTGGAGGCCCTGATTTCAATCGCACGGCACGCGGAAGTTGTGTGCTCGGGGCCTCTACACTTTTTAGAATTTAAAGTATCTCCAACGACGATCCACAAATTTTCGCCCGATTCTGTTTGGGGATAAGGGGTACCAGTCCATGATCACGGTTACAGGAGGCCGCCATCGAACCGTAGCCGCTTACATTTCATACTTTTTTTCAATAAATCGGATGAAATTTTCATGCAAACATGGTCGGATTTCACATAAACATGCCAAATTTCATACAAACATGACGGATTTTATTGACTTTGAAGGCATAATTAATACCTAACATAAATGATCGCCGATACCCGTTCCCTGTGTCCGGTCATGAGCCCCGAGAACTGAAGATTTGCTTTCTCCAGTTCCACCTCAGCGCTCTCCAGCACCGCCTCCGGAGACCCAGGAAGTGAAGTTGTCCGCCTCCAGTCGCCGCCAAGCGACTAATCGGCTGCCGATGCTCAGCCCACCAAGCTTGGCATCGACGGGGAAGCGGCTCCCCTGACGTACGGCGCCTGCCGTTGTGGCAGTGCCATGTGGGCCTGTTTCCCAGTGGGCCCACCTGCCAGTGGCCGAACTGCATGCTGTCGAACGACAGAGGATCCTCGTCCATCGACAGGAGGGGAGGAGTGGTGGCCTTCTTGGGACCTGAGCGGCGGCGACCTACCGTGCACTACTATTCCTCACTATTGGCGGCGCCCGCAGAGGTGTCTGCTTCGTGGTCGTGGTGATTGGGTGCTGCCTCGGCGGAGCCGACGATGTCATCGTCGTCGTAGGTCTCGCTGAACGCTGCCTCACCCGCCTCGTTATCGCACTCCTTGTAGGCGGCCGCCACCTCCGCCGCCCGCTGGCGGTACTGCCAGCGTGCGAGGCAGATCTCTTGATCGGTGCGGTAGGAGCCGAGCAACGCCGCCTACTCCACCGGGTCCGCATCCGACGCGATCACCCTGCCGACGGAAAGCTACTCCTCCGCCTGTAGGTGCTTCTGGAGGAGTTGGTGGTTGTAGGTGGCGTCGGCCTGTGCCTCCCGCACCATGTCCATGTAATGGGCACGGGCCTCGCCGATGGACATGGTGTGTAATGCACCGGCGAGGGTGGCACGTAGGAGGAGGGTGATGTTGGCTCGTCGTCGGCCGCGTCCTCCAGTTGGGACGTCGTCATCCTCCGGCTACCTGCTGGCCAGGCAGCCGACTACAATGGCGGCCAACTCCTTCTAGTCCAGCGTCAGCCCACCTCAGAGAGCTTTGGCATGGGAGGAATCCAGGTGGAAGTGGTGTGGAGAGTGATCGACGGCGATGACCGCGACTATGGTCGGGGCAGCAGTTTATATAGCAATGATGGGCGACAAAGGGACGGAAGGGTGGCATCGGAGTACGTGCCCCGGCAACCGCGTGTCCTTAACGTGGGCGGCAGACTGACTGCCGAACGACCGTCGTGTCGTTTGAACGCGCAACAGTCGCCTGCACCGGGAAGCGGCGGGTCAGTGCTCTCTCGACCGGCGCGTCGCTTCAATATCGATGCAAGTGAGTGCCGCGTCCGCTTTGGCCGAAAATGAATGCGGGCACTGACACTCTGGAGCGGCGCTAACCGTTCCACGTGCCGGGGCAAGGTAGGGGGTTTGGGTGGGCCATGGGACCAGAAGCGGATTTGGTTGTTGTCTGTACGTCCATAGTTTGTCTCTAATATGCGAGAAAAAGTACGTTCGGACCGCATACAAAATTATGATGTATGACTTCCGTTGTCCGGACAGATGCAGATGGTTTAAGGCTATGCGTTGAGGATGCTCTTAATAAGTAATAAAATAGTTGATGCGACAAACATGACGATTGCATCTTACATTTAGAGGATACTAGTACTATTTATAGTTGATGGAGTAGTAATTAACCCCTAATTTCTTCGCCGATTAATGAAAAAAGCCCTATTCTAAATTCGTCATCGTCCTCTTCGAGGCAATACATGTATTCCTCGATCCGAGCAACCATGTGATTGGGCCACGGGCACGGGTTGAGTTTCACGACCCTCGCAAATCGCTTCTTCCACTCCTTGTCCTGGTCGTAGGTGTGGAGTTTGCCTGCCCGCCGGTACTCATCCACCACGTCCTCCTCCTCCATGGCGTTGTACCGCCTCGCCTCCGCGAGCAGCGCCCAGCTACAAGCCGAATGCGCCGCCGTGTACTGTTTCGGAGGCCTGGCCTCTCCCTCGTGCTGCTCTTTCGCGTCGCCGGCCGCCGTCATCGCGGCGGCGCTGCTGGCTCCGCCTTTCTTCATGCCTCCCAGGCTTTCTTCTCTACCGAACCTACGTGTTGAGCGTGTACTGCAATGGATTAATCTTCTGTTTGTTCCCGAAAGCCCCGGCCGGCTGCGCACCGCTCGGCTGCATTTATAGATGGTTTGTGTAGGTCGCCCCTCGGTACCGTGACGAGTCGGATTGAGAGATTTGGATAGTTTTTTTCTTTTGGCTGCCCACGCCCGCCACGGTATTGCTATCTCCTTAACAAACATACCACGTGACTAGATTTAGAGAGATTTGATTATAACTCACATTTTACTTTGCGCTTTTTCTTCTACGCGCGAAGGCCACTATACTTAAGTTGTTCTTACCTCAAAAAAAAAAAAAAAACTTGAGTCGTCCAACGCTTACAAGGCCCTGAAAATACAAAGGTGACTATGGTTCCACGCATGAATAGCAAATTCTAAAAAGCCACTAGAAAAGAAAAACTAAAATTTGGGAATATCAAACTTGGTCGACCATTCTATGCATGTGTGAAGGTTCGTTAAGGAATGACATCCAAGGTATTTCTTAGCGAAGAAAGTACAGTACGATCTTACTGTTCCTCAAAATGGTGTTTTCGAACATAGCTTACTATTCCGGCAGCCGGACAATGATTATAGAATGGTGCAACAAGAAGAATGGAGGTAATTTGAGCACGAAGGATACACTTTCCATACTTACAAGACCTGTGGCGGGCGCCAGCTGCACCCTCTACTGCTAACTTTAGAAAAAATTTGGAGAGTTTGGGCATGGTTTAGCAAAATATTACCGTGGCAGGAATTTCTCATGGCCCTCCATAGATACATTGAGAACCAATGGTTGGCGTGTCACCTGACCCGCCACAATATTGATTCTACCCCGTGGCTAATTCCTCGAAGGGCCAGCGGCCTCATTTTATTAGAAAGGAGTGAAAGTACAATCAAACCACAGTCTAGGCGATCTAGAGCTGTAAGTTGTCCAAGCCAAAGGAAGGGCTATTACAGAAAACAAAAGGAAAAGCAAGAGCATATCCTCCCTGGAAGTTCAGGCTGCTAGGTCCGAAACACACCCAGCTGCTCTCCACACGGCAATGTCATCCCTGATCAGATCTAGCACTCGATCGACGCTGCTTGCTTTGTGTTCAAAGATCCTGGCATTCCTTTCCTTCCACACCCTCCAGTGCACCAGGATAGCAACGGTGTCAAAGTTACGCCGGTCTGGCTTGGGGATCTCTTTCCTGGCTGACAACCACTAGTCTTCGGTGCAGCTAAATCTGCTATCAGGAATGGCGAAGAACACACCCGTCCATTGCCTGAACGGGTGCCATAACTGCTGCGTGAATCTGCAGTTTACAAAGAGATGCGTACAGTCCTCTGGTTCAGCCAAGCAAAGCGGACATGTTGTGTTAGATGGCCAGCCGCGCCTCTGAAGATTATCCGCCGTTAGACAGCGTTTATGAACCACCAGCCACATAAAGAACCTGCAGCGAGGAGGAGCTTTGGATTTCCAAATTGGTTTGTAGCATGGAAAACGGATGCCTGCCATGAAGAACATCCGGTAGGCACTATGGACTGAGAATCGTTGATTTTCAGAAAGCCTCCAAAGCAAGCGATCCGCAACCTCCGGCTCAAGGATGGTAGCATGCGAGATGTCCCATATCTCGAGGTACTGAGCTAGAGCTTGAACTGACAGGCCTCCCCTTATGTCCTGTATCCAAGCATTGTTGTGCAGCGCCTCTCTGACCGTGAGTCCTGAATTATGCACAAAATAAAATAGAGTCGGTGCCACCATAGCAATCGACCGTCCATCCGGCAGCCATTTATCTGTCCAGAACCGTGCAATCTCACCGTTTCCCAACTTGACATAGCAAGTCGCATTGAAAATAGCCGAAACCTCATTCTCGGTGTTTTCCGGCAGACTGCGCCATGGCCTTTCCTCAGCCCCCCATCTCAGCCATGGCCATCTGCAGCGCAATGCCAAACCAAAATTTTGAAGGTTCGGCAAACCGAGGCCACCCAACTCCTTGGGTCTGCAAACCCGAGTCCACGGGAGTAGGCAGTGACCGCCGTTTATGTCTTCCTCCCCTTTCCAAACAAAACCTCTGCACCTTCTCTCGATAATCTTGATTGCCCAAATAGGCAAAGGGAGTACTGACATAAAATGGATGGGGAGGGCCATGAGAACCGAACTCGTGAGAGTCAAGCGTCCCGCTGCAACCAGCATCTTAGGTTTCCATCCTTTCATCTTGCCGGAGTATTTGTCAATGAGTGGACAAATGTCATTTTTCCTCAGCCTAAAAATTGATAAGGGAAGGCCCAGATACTTGAAAGGGAATTGCTGTTTTTGGCACTGGAAGTGAGCCGCCACCATATCCTCCTCAGCATCCGTGCATCGAATACAGGTTGTAGTGCTCTTTAGAAGGTTGATATGAAGTCCCGAGGCCTGACCAAACAGATCCAGGATGCAGGATATCACCTGAAGGTCCATACTTGTTGGCCTAAAAAAGAGGATAGCGTCATCCGCGAAGATGGATGCCCTGGTGTTCCTCTGTCAAGACCGAGAGGTGGTAATATGTTCTGTTGCGTTGCCCAAAGCAATATGGCCTGCAGTGTGTCCATAGCCAGGATAAAGAGAGCAGGGGACAATGGGTCTCCTTGCCTTACTCCTTGACCCAGAGCAAAAGGTGTCGTCAACTCTCCATTAATGAGAACAGAGGAAGATGCCGAGCTGAGAAGCCCACAGATCCATGAAATCCACCTCCTCCCAAAGCCTCGTTTTTGCAAAACTTCAAGAAGGAAATCCCAGGACAGAGTGTCAAAAGCCTTGGAGATATCGATTTTCATAAGCACCGTCGGCTTCTTCTTATGATGCAGCAACTTAGCAGCGTTCCGAACAAACTTGAAGTTTTCGTGCATGCTTCGGTTGGTGAGAAAAGCACTTTGCGCTTGGGATATAATTTCTGGTAGCAGGGGCTTCAAACGAACTACCAACACTTTGGCAAAGATTTTGGCAACGCCATGAACTAAGTTGATTGGCCTGAAATCCCCGAGTTGAAGAGAGACATCCTTCTTTGCCAGCAAGGTTATAATGGATGAGTTTAGACCACCAAAGGAGTGGAATCTCCCTTCATGTAAAGCATTCATCACAGCCATCAGGTCCTTCGCAATAATGTCCCAGCATTCCTTGTAAAACAGCCCAGAGAAGCCATCGGGGCCCGGAGCACGATCTGATGGCATGTCAAAGACCACTTTCCTGACTTCTTCCTCAGTGAAAGGCACCTCTAGGGAATTAGCAGACTCAGGTGAGATTTTGAGCAAATCTAGCTCCTCAAGATTAACCAAGCAGTTCGAGCTTTAGGAGTGCCCATCAGGTTACGGAAGAAAGAGTGGGCAAGATCTAACTTCTCCTCCATGTTGACCAGCGTGCGCTCTCCGTCCTTAAGATAAGGAATCAGGTGCTTTCTCCTCCTTCCATTGGCCTTCATGTGAAAATACTTGGAATTAGCATCCCCCTCACGCAGGTCTCTAATCTTAGCCCGCTGCCGGAGACGAACACGTTCCAGAGAGGCTAGCGCTAGGCACTTCCCTTTAAGGAACGCTCTTAATCTTCTCTCCTCCGCTGAGAGTATCCTCGCTTCTTGCGCTACATCAAAACGGAGTATGACCTCATTGGCGATCTGGAACTGCAGGTTCATCGTGCTTTGCTTCCGTTGTCCCCAGCTTCTGAGGGCCTTGGCCGCACGATTTAGCTTAGTGCTGAAAATATGCATAGGATCTGAGCTTGAAACCTCCTTGTCCCAAGATTCTTTAACTATCTCCAGGAATCCAGGCAGTTTGCACCAAAAGTTTTCAAATCTGAATCTGTAGGACCGCGGGTGATCCATTGAAACGGAAAGCAGCAGGGGGCAGTGATCAGAGATACTTGAGCTCAAGGGATGTAGATTGCTGATCGGGTAGACATCTTCCCAAGCATTGTTGAAAAACAGCCTGTCAAGCTTGGCCATGATTGGGTGCTCCTGCCCATTGCACCACGTAAATTTCCTTCCGACCATAGGCATCTCGTGCAGACACAACTTGTTTATGGTATGACGAAACTTGCTCACCATCCTTCTGTTGGCTCTCCCCGTGCTGCGTTCTTCCTCGTGCCTCACCAGGTTGAAATCACCATTGAGAATCCACGGACCCCGCACCTGTTCACCAATGCCTTCCAGTTCCTCAAGAAATCTCTTCTTGTCCTGCTCTGTTTGAGGCCCATAGACAGTAGTTACCATCCAAACCTTACCATCCAGCAACGAGGTTACTGTAGTAGATACAGAGAACTCTTTCTTCACAACATTTGAAAGCTGCAATCTGTCTGTTTTCCAGGCGATCAAGGTTCCCCCTCTAGTGCTATCCGCCAGTAAGGCATCAAACCCATCAAAACTAGGACCCAAAGTCTGGGAGACCACCACAGTATCCACCATATTCAACTTAGATTCTTGGAAACACACCAACGAAACATCACAAGTCTGCATAAACAAGCGAACAGAGCTACGCCGAGCAGGATTGTTCAACCCCCGTACATTCCAAACCAACATACTAAAAGGATTATTCATGGCAGAAGACAAGCCCACAGGAAGCAGCAAGTAGCACTACGCGCCACAGGGCTCCACACTCTCCGGGAGGCTGAGGGCACTGAAGTCGAACTGGTTAGGCTTGTCGAAAGCAGCCCCATCTGGGTCGAACAGCGCTGCCACCGCCCTGATGTGATGCGGTGCCAACGGCTTGTCTAAGAGCTTCAGGTAGTAGTCCATAGCTTCTTTGGAGATGCGCTCTTCTCGCTCGATTACCCCCATCGCACGTAGGAGAACCGTTTGAGCGCGCTCTACCGGTCCCTGACACATGCCATTGTCTTGCTTGGAGAGCCTAGCACTCCTCCTCAGGGTGAAGTTTGGAGGCAGTTGCTTCCAATCACTACCGATCATTGCCCGTCACTACCGATCATTTAGCAGTGACCAGCCGTTTTTTCCACCCACCAC